TGAGTTTATTTTTGTGTATGGTGTTAGAAAGTGTTCTAGTTTCATTCTTAAAGACAGCCCTCAGATTGGGAGAAAATAATAGCAAACGAAGCAACAGACAAAGGATTAATCTCAAAAATATACAAGCAACTCCTCCAGCTCAACTCCAGAAAAATAAATGACCCAATCAAAAAATGGGCCAAAGAACTGAACAGACATTTCTCCAAGGAAGACATACAGATGGCTAACAAACACATGAAAAGATGCTCAACATCACTCATTATCAGAGAAATGCAAATCAAAACCACAATGAGGTACCATTACACACCAGTCAGGATGGCTGCTATCCAAAAGTCTACAAGCAATAAATGCTGGAGAGGGTGTGGAGAAAAGGGAACCCTCTTACACTGTTGGTGGGAACGCAAATTAGTACAGCCACTATGGAAAACAGTGTGGAGATTTCTTAAAAAGCTGGAAATAGAACTGCCATATGACCCAGCAATCCCACTTCTGGGCATACACACCGAGGAAACCAGATCTGAAAGAGACATGTGCACCCCAATGTTCATCGCAGCACTGTTTATAATAGCCAGGACATGGAAGCAACCTAGATGCCCATCAGCAGACGAATGGATGAGGAAGCTGTGGTACATATACACCATGGAATATTACTCAGCCATTAAAAAGAATTCATTTGAATCAGTTCTAATGAGATGGATGAAACTGGAGCCCATTATACAGAGCGAAGTAAGCCAGAAAGATAAAGACCATTACAGTATACTAACACATATATATGGAATTTAGAAAGATGGTAACGATAACCCTATATGCAAAACAGAAAAAGAGACTCAGATGTATAGAACAGACTTGTGGACTCTGGGAGAAGGCGAGGGTGGGATGTTTCAAGAGAACAGCATCGAAACACGTATATTATCTAGGGTGAAACAGATCACCAGCCCAGGTTGGGTGCATGAGACAAGTGCTCGGGCCTGGTGCACTGGGAAGACCCAGAGGGATCGGGTGGAGAGGGAGGTGGGAGGGGGGACCGGGATGGGGAATACATGTAAATCCATGGCTAATTCATTTCAATGTATGACAAAAACCACTGCAATGATGTAAAGTAATTAGCCTCCAACTAATAAAAATAAATGAAAAAAAAAAAAAAGACTCTGATGCTGGGAAAGATTGAGGGCAGGAGGAGAAGGGGACGACAGAGGATGAGATGGTTGGATGGCATCACTGACTCAATGGACATGTGTTTGGGTGAACTCCGGGAGTTGGTGATGGACAGGGAGGCCTGGCGTGCTGCAGTTCATGGGGTCGCAAAGAGTTGGACGTGACTGAGCAACTGAACTGAGCTGGTTGAACTTTATACATAAAAATAAATAAAAGGGCAACTTTTATTTATTTTTTGCAAGAACTAGAATTGTTGATTTTTTAAAAAATGGGCTGTCAAACCATGAAAAGACATGAAAGAACTTAAAGTACATATTGCCAGGTGAAAGAAAAGATTACATACTATATGATTGCAACTATATGATGTTCTAGAAAAGGTAAAACTATGAGGGCAGTAAAAAGATCAGTAACTGCCAAGGCTTCAGAGGGACAAAGGGATGAATAACTGAAGCATAGGAATTTTATGGCAATGAAACTATTCTGAATGATATTGTAATGTAGTTGCATATTATTACACATTTGTCAAACCCATATACAGCAAAGAGTGAGCTCTAATGTAAGCTATGGATTTTAACTAATGAAGTGAAGTGAAAGTCTTTCAGTCATGTCCAACTGTTTGTGACCCCACAGACTATACAGTCCCTGGAATTCTCCAGGCCAGAATACTGGAGCAGGTTGTCATTTCCTCCTCCAGGGGATCTTCCCAGCCCAGGGATTGCACCCAGGTCTTCCACATTGCAGGCAAATTCTTTACCAGCTGAGCCACAAGGGGAAGCCCCTTATTATTTTAACTTTTTATATATCTTATGTTTTTATTTTAACTGATAACAACATATTAAAATTGACCCATCTATCATAACAAATGTACTACACTAATGTAAGATGTTAACAATAGGGGAAAATTGGGGAAGAGAGGTATATGGGACTTATTTGTACCTGCTGCTTATTTTTCTTTAAACCTAAAACTAATCTAAAAAAAGAAAGATACACATCCTTTTCCAATACCATGTAATTCCTAATTACTAGTATGTATTTTCACAGCAAATAATTGCCAAGTAAACCACGGGTATCTTTTCTAATTTGCCTGCATTAAGAGTTTCAATGAATGACACAGATAAAAGCTATGATTGTATTGTGAACAACTGTGTGTTTTTGCTTCTAGTCTTGCCTCCTAAAATACATTTAATTACTTCTAGCAAAGAACATAAACACTTAAGTTCTCTAACATTTTAAGCATACCTTCACCACACCTTGCAATGGCTGTTCCCTATTCCTGAAACAGTTTCCCCTAGATAACTGCAGGACTCACTTGTTTACTTCCTTTATGTCTTTATTGAAATGACCTTCTCAGTGAGGCCTTCCCAGACCATCTTATTTAAAATTCCAACTACCTTCCCCATACTAATTTTTTTTTCTATAGCACTCATCACTTTTTAATATTAGAAAACTTTTAAATTTTCATCTCACACAGACATGACATGCTTTTGGTGTGTTTATTTTGTACCCTGCAACTTTTTTGGATTCATTTATTACATCTAACAGGTTTATTGGGGGAGGGAGTATATGTTTAGGGTTTTCTGTAAACCCTGTAAGAGCATGTTATATATGAAAGGAGATAGTTTTACTTCTTCCTTTCTAATTTGGATGCTTTTTATTTCCTTTTCTTGCCTAATTGCTTTGGCTAAGACATCTAATACAATGTTGAATAAAAGTGGTAAGAATGGGCATCCTTGTCTTGTTCCTGATTTTAGAGGTAAAGCTTTCAGCTTTTTACTGTTGAGTATGATGTTAGTTGTAGGACTGTCCTATTAGACCTTTATATATTAAGGTACATTTCCTCTGTACCCTCTTTGTTCAGTTTTTAGCATTAATGGATGTTGAATTTTTATTAAATGCTTTTTTGCATCTTTTGATCATATGATCTTTATCCTTAATTTTGTTAGTGTAGTATATATCACATTGATTGATTGTGAGTGTTGGGTCATCTTTGCATTCCTAGGATAAAGCCTACTTGATCATGGTGTTTACTCTGTTTAATGTTTTGTTGAATTCAGTTTGCTAATGTTTTCTTAAGGATTTTTACAACAATGTTCATCATCAATGTGGGCCTATAATTTTCTATTTTCTTATTGTTGAGTTTTAAGAATCTTTTAGAATATATTTTGAATACCAGTCCTTTGATAGATATGTATTTTGCAAATGTTTTTTCCCAGTTCATGGTTTGTTATTTCATTCTCTTAACAGTGTCTTTTACAGAACAGACATGTTAAATTACACTCTGTACTTAATTCTATCTCTTTTTCCTTTGGTATCCAATTTTCTCATTTCCACTTTTGTTATTCATATAGCAAGCATTTAAGTATGTTTCAACTTCATTCTTCTAATGGAGTATGTATTTAGAATGTAATTGGATTAAATAAATTCTCCCTTTGGACTGTACTTTTTTAGTATAAGGGAAAACATTCTCTATCCTGAAAATTCTCTGCGGCATTTATTCTCCAAAAAATGATCCTCAGAGAAGAGAGGGAACTGGAATTTGCTTTGTGCTTCTTTTTTATTTGCCAGCATCAGGCTATTGAACTTTGTATACTTTATTATTTAATCATGATGGTAGTTGTTGTTTATGATACTATACTTTTGTTTCTGTCCTAAGTTGATAACTGACACTTCCATCTCAAAAATTTCTACCATTTCTTAAAACTTTAGTTCTCCTAATGATGTTAAGAACTGAGAGAATACACTGCCTCCAGATATTTTTCTCAATGCTGTGATTCACAGACCAAAAGAAGCAAACACAAAAAAGTAACAGCAATAAAGTAAAACCCCTTCTTTAAAGTAAGGAGGGGGAAAAAAAAAACATGTATAGGGTAAACTGTCTATATTTTTCAGAGGTGAAACTATTTTTATAGTCAAATTAAATAATAAAAGTATTTAATTTTAACTCTAAGATGATGCTTTTGTTCACAGTTTTAATTTTTGTTAGGTGTCCTGCCTAAAAACTGTAAATATTGCAAGAGATGCGGGCTTCTGAACAGGTTGCAGTTTGATCTTTCAGGCAATAATATTACAACATCCAAGTTCACTACTTCCACATACATGTTTTGGGAGAATCTTATTTTTAAGTTTATCTTAACTTTCTGCTTTTTGAGAACACAGAGGAACACAGCCTACTAAAACTTGATTTTGGAAAGTGTTTCCATATGTTTCCTTTTTTTTTTTTTTTTAAGATCTCAACCTCCTTTCCTCTCTCCCTTCTTGCCACCTAAAAATATTTTCTTTATTTTTTATGGTTAAATTTTAACTTTTATTACAGCTTAGTTTCTTACTTGGGAACTTTGATTTTGTTAATTTAGTTATGATTTTCCTGATCACACTCAGGTCTGGTGTTTATATTTCATATTTGTTTTCATTTTTCCACACTGAATGCCTGTGTTTTCTATAGTGAAAATAGCCAATATAATCAGCTAGGGGAATGGCTTTTAGGTGGCTCCAGAAGGCAGTAGTGGAATTACCTTAGCTTGCTATTTGTTCTGCTGGTGTGATGACCTAAGCATCCTCTTGCCTTTCTGTTGCCATCCTAAAATTCACTTAGGGCCTTGGAGAAATGGTGGATCAAATACTTAAGTGTTCCTTAGTTATTTAGTTAAGTCGCTCAGTCATGTCCGACTCTTTGTGGCCCTGTGGACTGTAGCCCACCAGGCTTCTCCGTCCATGGGATTCTCCAGACAAGAATACTGAAGTGGGTTGCCACTTTTAGCAGAGTATTATTTTGTAACTGCTGTAAATGTACACTGCTTCAATTCATGTGTCTTTTTTCTACCTCTCTCGCCTTCTCCCCCCTACAGTCACCAGAGAAGAAAGGAAAAGAAGCAAATACGGGTTTTGGTGGGCCAGTTGTTAGTTCTCTGTATCACGAAGAAATCATCAGGTAAATTCTCTTCTTGTCTTTAATAATAGGAGTATATGCATATATGTGTATGTGCATATATATGTGTGTGTTCATTTAATCCTTAAAACTTTCATTTGAAGAACTCTTTTTTAACGTGAAACTGATTTGGTGGTATCTCTAGAAGGATAATAAATGGCAGGAAATAAATTTTTATGTGTGTAATTTAAAAAATCTGTGTCTGATTCAGTGTCAAAGAATAACCTTTCTCCCACATAAGTAGTTCATAGGGCAAGGTTTTGTGTCTCAGATCTAAAGCTATGGATTTTGGTTGTTGTTCTTACTAGTTTTCTTCAAAATATCATTATTTCTTTTGAATACTTTAATTTTTTTTTAATAGGCAGGGTTTTTTTTTAATTGTTGTAAACACATACATAAAAATTTACCATTAATTTTTAAGCATAGTTCATTGGTATTAAATTCAAACATAACATTGTACAACCATTGCCACCACTGATTTACATAAATCTTTTTATCTTGTAAAATTGAAATTCTGTACCAATTCAACTCCCCATTCCTCCATCCTTGTGTCCAACTCTTTGTTACCCCATGCAGCATGTCAGACTCCTCGGTCCTCCACTATCTCCTGTAGTTTGCTCAGATTCATGTCCATTGAGTTGGTGATGCTATCTAACCATCTCATACTCTGCAGTCACCTTCTCCTTTATTTTTTTTTTCCATTTATTTTTATTAGTTGGAGGCTAATTACTTTACATCATTGCAGTGGTTTTTTGTCATACATTGAAATGAATTAGCCATGGAATACTTTAATTTTTGTAGTTTATTTACTGTAGTTTCAAGTTAAAAATCGTTTTGGAGTGTAAAATGGCACACGAGGGAGAACAGTAGGGAGGTTCCTCAGAAAATTAAACAAAGAATTATCATACGATCCAGCAATTGTTTCTGGTTCTGTAGCCACCAGGATTGAAAGCTGAATTTCAAAGATATATTTGTATACCCATGTTCACAGCAGCACTGTTCACAATAGCAGAAGGAAGAAGGCACCTAAGTTAAGTGTCCATTGATGATGAATGTATACACAAAATGTGGTGTTACATATAATGGAATATTATTCAGCCTTAAAAAGGAAGGAGAATCTGACACATGCTAGAACATGGATGAACCTTGAGGTCACTCTGCTAAGTGAAATAAGCCAGTCACAAAAGGATAAATACTGTATGATTCCACTATATGAGGTGTCATGAGAGGTCAAATTCATAGAATCATGGTTGTCAGGAGTTGGAGGGTGTCAGAAATGTGGAGTTGTTTATTAAATGGGTGTAGAGTTTTAGTTTTACAAGATAAAAAAACTTCTGGACACTGGTTGCACAACCATGTGAATACACTTAACACTACTAAGCTGTACACTTAGAGATGGTAAAGATGATAAATTTATGCTATGTATTTTTTACCAAAATTTGAACATTTTTAAAGGTCATTTTGTATTATTTAACAAAGGTTTTGAATTTTATATGTTATGTATGAAATTTCTTGGACAATCATTTTCTTTAAACACTGTGTAAATCAAGAAAAGGATTTGGTCCTGCTTTGAAGCAGGTGACATATTCTTCTAAGATCGTTGCTTTACTTGCAAAAACATGAAATTGAAACTTCTGATGCTCTTACCCTTTCTGCATTATCTGAACTTTACTTTTCTTACTTGTTAACATGAAATAAATGAGTTGAAATTTTCACATGGAAATTGAGTTCGCCTAAATTGAAGGGAAATATCTATCTTCAGAGAATGAAGAGGAAATTGTACCAAAATTTGATGCTTCACTCTTTCAAAAGAGTTGTTGACTTTACTCACCACATAAAGAAGTAACGATAAGAATTCCCAGGTAGCATACTAGAAGGAAAGCTATTGGTACCCCTATGAATCAGAAACTTTAAATGCTCATCATTCTGGTTAATGACCAGATTCAAAACTAGCGGTCCTGTCTTGAATCTATTTGCATAGCAAGCATGTTGTTTTTACTTAGACTAAATGTTTGTTTGGGATGAGATAGTGGAAGCCTGATGGAGATTTGAGGGGGATAAAGAAAACCTTTTAAGAACGCTACTGACCTGAAGTACATTTGCCACCATGATTCCTTTAAGGTACTGTGAGGACACTGAGAAGCCCTACAATTTTGAGGAAGCACAGCTGAAGAAAACATTTTCAGAGTTTAACTCCTTCTTCCCTTAACACTTATAGGTTCAGAACGTGTTTTAGGGGTTCTTAATTTGTATATTCTGTACTTAGAGCTTCTAAAAAAATGGCATATTAGAAGCTTAACCCTACTAATCAAAGTTTATTAAATGTTTAAATTAAGTCAGTAAATCCTTAAGAGTCATTTTTCTAGGAGGGATGGTTAGTCATTCTTTCTCTATGTGAGCATAGTCTTTTGTTCATACCTTTGTTGTAGCATTTGTGACATTATGCCGCACTGGATTATTATACTTTTTTTTTTTTTGGCTTTTTTTTCCATTTATTTTTATTAGTTGGAAGCTAATTACTTTACAGTATTGTAGTGGTTTTTGTCATACATTGACATGAATCAGCCATGGATCCACATGTGTTCCCCATCCCGATCCCCCCCTCCCACCTCCCTCTCCACCCGATCCCTCTGGGTTTTCCCAGTGCACCAGGCCCGAGCACTTGTCTCATGCATCCAACCTGGGCTGATGATCTGTTTCACCATAGACAATATGCATGTTTCGATGCTGTTCTCTCGAAACATCCTACCCTCGCCTTCTCCCACAGAGTCCAAATGTCTGTTCTGTACACCTGTGGATTATTATACTTTTTAAAAATTTATCCTTTCTGCTGGACTTTTAGTCTTTGGAGAGCACACATCATATTTTATCCATCTGGGTATTCTCAGTAACTGGGGAAGTTCCAAAAACTTAGTAGGTACAGAGTAAAAGTGTCCAGAGCTTGGGAAGTATCCACAGCTACTTCCCCCGCAGAGCTGAGAGTTTGGTGACTGTACTCGCACCCATCATAAAGTGCAGAGTTGATGGTTTGGTTTCCTGTGACATGCCCATCCTCACCTCTTCTTCTAAAGAAATGTACAGGCCACTTTCCTAGTTAGATAATTAAATGGATATCGTTTCTAAACTTTGGGTTTTTTTTTTGTTAAATCACTATATTTAACTTTCTAATACTATCAATCACTTATCTATAAATAGTGATTTTTATTTTGTATACGGATTTCCTTAAGGGCTCCCAGATGCTAGTATTTTTCAAAATGACGCATTGAACAGTTTCTTTCGTAATATCTAGTGACATGACTGATCACAGTACCTCTGCAGAACAGGAAGCAAATCAAATGTACTCCAATTGATCTGAGAGTAGATATCTGGGTAATTAGAATATTCCTAAGATAGAGTTAAACTGACCTGGAAAAGTTAGCCTATCCTCTATCTAATTCCTACAGAAGTGACTCTTAGATTTAAGTCAGTATTTAGAATTTTGATCATGAGAAGCAATGATAAGATAGTGTAGCTTTATTTTCAAGAAGTAGAAACTTTAATTCAACTCAGCCCACATCTATTATATGAGTCTAAATGAGACAAAACATTGTGGGTATTTGTGCTGCTTAACTTCTTCATTTTTGAATAGTATGTTTTTGGTAATTTTGGCATCTACATGTGAGTATGTTTAATAAACCTTATTGATTAATTGAGTGAAATGTGAACCTCTGTTATTGGCAAAACTTTTACTCTGGCCTTATTTCATTGTTATCTAAGTATTAGTCTTTTTATGATAGGATCTAAATCTTTGTATTCTGGAACATATTGTTAAGATAGGAAACAGTAAGGAATATGAGTGTGAGAGAGCCATCAAAAGCCTTCCTTTTAATTATAAACAGTAATTTTGTTACTACTACAGCAGATCCGAAATCACAGCAACTAGTCATATTCTTATTTTAGGGAATTTATCCTGTAATGTAACAGAATTCCAGTATAACAAAATAGATTATGATAAAAACTACTGTGTACTAAAACGTTGGGTTACTCCATTAAAGGACTATAGAGTGGTCCCTATTGTTTCTTCAGTATAAGAATGCAGTTGCTTTCTTTGATTTCTTTTATCAGTGTTTTATAGTTTTCTATATGTAGGTCTTTTGTTTCTTTAGGTAGACTTATTCCTAAGTGTTTTATTCTTTTCATCACAATGGTGAATGGAATTGTCTCCTTGATTTTCTTTCTGTTTTCTCATTGTAAGTGTATAGGAATGCAAGGAATTTCTGTATATTAATGTTATATCCTGTAACTTTATTCATTGATTAGCTATAGTAATTTTATGGGTTCAGGGTTTTCTATGTGGAGGATCATGTCATCTGCAAACAGTGAGGGTTTTACTTCTTTTCCAATCTGGATTCCTTTTCTTTCTTTTTCTCCTCTGGTTGCTGTTGCTAAAACTTCCAAAACTATGTTGAATAGTAGCGGTGAGAGTGGGCACCCGCATCTTGTTCCTGACTTTAGGGGATATGCTTTCAATTTTTTGCCATTGAGGATAATGTTTGCTGTGGGTTTATCATATAGGGCTTTTATTATGTTGAGGTATGTTCCTTCTATGCCTGCTTTCTGGAGGGTTTTTATCACAAGTGGATGTTGAATTTTGTCAAAGGCTTTCTCTGCATCCATTGAGATAATCATATGATTTTTATCTTTCAATTTGTTAATGTGGTGTATCCTTGTGTCCCTGGGATAATCCTTGCGTCCCTGGGATAAAGCCCACTTGGTCATGATGTATGACCTTTTTAATATGTTGTTGGATTCTGTTTGCTAGAATTTTGTTGAGGATTTTTGCATCTATGTTCACCAGTGATAATGACCTGTAGTTTTCTTTTTTTATGGCATCTTTGTCTTACACTGTTTGTGGGAATGCAAACTAGTACAGCCACTATGGAGAACAGTGTGGAGATTCCTTAAAAAACTGGAAACAGAACTGCCATATGACCCAGCAATCCTGCTGTTGGGCATACACATCA